CATAGCTACTAATAATTAATTTTTGTTATATATATATATATATATATATATTATTAATGAGAAAAACAGTCTAATAGTTACTAAAATAATCTGTTAGACATCGGAATAATATTTGTAGTAAAATAGAAAATAGAATAAAAAATGTTTGGGAAATTTTTCATTTATATTCTAAAATTTATCAATAATTGATTTTGCAAATTAAAATATATTCAATGATGAATAACTGCTTCATTTAGATCTAAAGAACGGCAAATAAGTGCAAATTTGAAAAATTATTGATTGTAAGTGAGCCGTGTTGGAAGATTTTACCTTTAACGCAGAAGAAAGAGACTGGATTTTCATTCTGTATTTCATAACCATAAATTATTGAAATGATAATTATAGTATTTTTCAATCATTTTGACCAAAATTAATACAAAAAAAAATGAAAAATATGTTGATTTCAACAATTTTGCGTCAAAGTGTTAGGGTAGGCTAGGGTTGCCACGGGTGACAAAAAATGCAAAAATTGCTGACTAATCCAAAAATTAATTAAATTATTTATAATTAAATTCAAAAATTCCTTAAAGGAAAATTCGATTTAGCGATTTTTTAGAGCATACTGTTTTCAGTTTACAATTCAAAGCGAAGTCAAGGAATGGTTTTGTTTTAAATATGAAAAATTTGAAATGTAAGTCACAGTGTTAATTACAACTGAATTAGCAAATAAGACCGAATTGAGTTAGCAGCACTTTCTACATTTATCTCTCCTGTAGCATCCCTGGGGTTACGCTTCAGGACTTAAAGTTAGGTGCCAATTGTATCATACATGCATTTCTGGTCTCAAAAAGTGGGTTATATTAAAAAGAAAAACGTATAAAGAAAGTGGTAGTTCATACTTGTTTGCAACAAGAGGATATTTCTTGCTGTTGCTTACCTCAGTTGATTTAAAGAAAACTCTATGTTTGGTAACTTCCCCAATTTGCTTCAAACTGCTATTGGTTAATATTTCATTAAACAAGATTCATACGCACATGAAAAAATATAAAAGTTGTTTTAATATAATACAATTTTTTTTATAATATTTTGTTTGTAGCTACCAGAATATTTTATTTTCTCTACGTAAATATATGTAGATACGAAAGTGGAAAATTTTACCAATATACATGCAGACCTCAAAATACCAACTCTATCACAGCATATATACAAGCTAAACGCAGATTTTTTCGATAAAGCCATAGAATGTAAAACAGCAAATTTTAATGAAATCTTTAAATTTGAAAATTATTTCAACGATAAAAACTGCAGACCAATAGCTGCACATTTCACCTCCGACGCCTCATATCATAACTATCAAAACAAATAATTTCATCAACCTTTCTGAAAATAACGTTTACTCTTGCTGATACAATTCTGAACAACTCCAAAATCAAACAAACACAGTTTAGAACAAGCTGCTCAATTTATTTTTGATTCCTTTTTAGTTATTCAAGCAAAGAGCTTGAAACATTCATAAAAGCAACTCCATTGCCTGCTTACCTCATTGCTCAACCAAAACTGTTCAAAAATTCCAGATGAATGGGATAGGGGCCGCTTCGCGGCCCAGGTGCCCAATAAAATCTAAACACTAGGACTAGGAAAATTTGGAATTTCATTCAGTTGCGTTTCGGCGATTTATTATTAGTTCCCACTCAGATGAATTAGTTAGAGCCCTTGCAGGGGCTGATACTAAGATAACCACCACATATGAGAGTATGAGAGAGGAAATAAATTTTATATCGCAAGTGGCGTCCTTATTAAGAAATTAATACTAGTTTTTTTTTTTCCCTGTATTTGCGAACTCTGATCTATTAAATATGATTAATACAGCTGGAAGTATATTTTGAATGCGCTTAAAAAGTCTTGTAAATGGAAAGAAGTTACTTGTGAATTTCATTTAGATATGAAGTATTTTTTTGCTCCAAAAGTAAAATTTAATAAGAAATCTTTGCATGCCATGCCCACACTTCGCGGCGAGCTGCTCTGTTCAGCGGCATCACTTCAGCGGAGTGGAGTGCAGTAACGAAAAGGTTGATTTAATGCTCTTAATAAGTGTAATTGTATCGCTATTATGATTTTTTTAAAAAATCTTTGAGAACAAATTAAATTGAATAAAGTCAAAGGACATTAATATTATATTTTCTAGAAAATTTCTTCTTTATATTAATTCTCCTGCTGCGTAACCGGCGATTTTCACGGTCTATATAGAAGTAGCGATTTCCGTGAGGCTGCGTTTTTCCGTCTATATAACTGTGCAACCCGCTCTTTTCCCATTCATGGCTTCATTTCGGCTTTATTATGACTTTTAACTGGTTATTCAGATCTCTGTTAGCAGATGGCGTTAATTGTCCATATTTCTGTGAAATATACAAACATGTTTTGCAGCATTTTAGGCTCTCATTTTGAAGCTCAAAAATGCCTAGTAGGAAGAGTTACGCGAGTGATATAACCTACATTTCTGACAATATTTTCGACACTGATAGCAGTCCTGAATCTGATCTTAGGCGCATTGAAAATAGTTGTTTTTAAGTTAATCATATACGAGTACTAATTAGAATTTATATTTAATAAATGTTTTGTGAGTATTTACATATTTTCATTACTATACACGTTTCACCTTTTTATTGCCATAAAATAAATCATAAATCAAATTTTTCATTTGTATGATTATTTTTTTATTTCAATTTTCCGATAACATCTTTTTATAATCTTATTCTATGTACCAAAAAAAACTATTTCTCATTTATTTTTACTCTGAAATATATATGGATTTGAAATATGTAATAGAAAAATATGCAATTTTCGAAAATATTTTGACAAAAAGAAATTACTCAGCTAAAGGGTTAAATAACTTAATTGTAACAAATGTGATATTATACAATTTGATGATGACTTTAGTATATTTATGTCTTAGGAAAACATACGTACTTCCGGTGCCTAAGACTTCTTTGAAAAATCTACACAAACAATGTAAGTATAAACATTTTGTTTCAAAAATTAGGTCCCAAAGTGTTTAAGGGGCCATTCAAATATTACGGAATCACTTAACGGAGAAAGAGATTTGTGATTTTCTTATTTTTGCAAACAAGGGGGGGAAAAGGATTTAAGTAATGCTTAAAATTCGCCTTATGAGCATAATTTCTAAAAAAACAAAATATAAAATGAAACAAAAAATTATACTCAAAAAATTTCTCATTTAGACTTGAAGTTGAATTCAGGAAAAGAAAATAAATGGAAAAAATTTCTAAACTATTCCTAAAGAATATTCTACTCAAAATTTTGTAAAATGTATAGAAACGAAAATTTTGTTTGAACAAAATTACAAAATTACTTTACCAAAATTTAATCTTAAAATTAGAATACTACAGCAAAGGTAAAAATAAAAGCAAAAATCAGAAGGAAAGAGCGTTGCCACTTTCTCAAGTAAGCATAGGAGGGAGTTTTTAATTTGCTTGTTTTTGCCACAAGATTGAAGGTCGAGTACAAATTTGCCTAAATTATGCTTATGCAATATTTGAATGCCCCCAACTCATTGCATTTCTGAAGACTTCAGTGAGGAGGCGTTTTTCAAAAAAGTTGCTACTGTAAACTTAATTATTTTCGTTTCTTACATTGACACACTATTTTAAAATAAACCCGTTAGCCCTCGGTTATTTCAAAAGTTATCCCCCTCCCCCACAAAAAAAATTTTAAAAAATGTAGCAATGTTCTAAAATTTAAATGTTGAAATTCATTATGTAAAGACTAGAGGTTCGTGGTAATTTTAAGATAATAACTATATTTCGATCTGAAATTACAGAGATGCCAACTGCTCTGGATTTAGCAAAATGTTTTAAAAAACGGTAGAGAACTACAAACTAAAATTTGCAGATTTTCAGTTAATTTTGCATTTGTGTGATATGTAATTTTGCAATTACATATCTCACAAGCCTTAGAATTATGCAAAAGTAGTGATGAGTAAAAACCTTATAAATCGCATTTACTAAATCAAAAATACTACCACTCATAAATTTTTATCCGCTGCCCTGACCACGTTGGTCTCTTCGAATATTATGTCAGTACTTAAAAATTAAAGTGGTAGCCAGCAAAAGAATATATAGTATTCTGTGCTTAAATGACACCACTTTTATCCGTAAGATACTTTTTACATCAAAACAAAATGTTATGTTTTCGCAACACTAGTTAGAAATAAATTAAATGTAAAACAGTCAATCACATTTTAAGCAACCTAAACGTAATTCAATGAATCGAATTTTAACCCATTGCCTGTCTCGTTGACCTTGATGTAATATTTTGAAGCGACAAGAAAAACTGCCTTTAGAAAAGGAGTAGTAGGTAACACTGGAAAGCAACTTTTTTTCTTTTAGATTTATGTTTTATAGGATTTCTCCTTTTAACAGATCTAAGATACTCTCGCATCTCCTGATTTCAACAGTAGTCCGAAATGGATTAAATGTAAAACAGTCAATTACATTTAAAACAATTCGTCTAAATAATGTATTAATATAAAATTATTATAATTTAATAAAATATTTTGTAATTCAAATAAAATTTTGATGTAAGAATAAAAAAAAACATGAAAATGCTAGTCTTACACTAAAAAATTCTTTAACAATAGCAAGATATTCAGTGGTTTTTCAAAATCATTATTGTGGTGAATAAATTTTTGTCATAAAATGTATTTCAAACTTCTAAAAAGGCATCATGAAACATTCTTGATCACCACAATAAATCGATAACGTGAATACATACAAATAGTAATGTAATCGAAGAGGGTCCTCAATAACATACCTGCCAGCTTTTAGTCCTTTCGAGGACGTTTTTCCTCTGTGGTCGTAAAATGGAATTTAAATTACAATTTTAGGCAGTATCATGCGATGTATGTTGAAAAAGCTTAAGCAAAGTGCCACGACAGTAATATATATGATTAATTTTTTTAAAAATAGTGATGGTCAAAAAATATTATAAAATAAGTTTATAAATACTAGGAATGTATAGAAAGCATACATTTTACTACCATTTTAAATTTAGAAATAAAATTTTACGCCAAATGCGTAAAAGTTGGCGGGTATGCTATTATTGTCATTTTCTCAGAGCCATTGGGCAAGTACTACAGATGAAGATGAGGGCATCAATTCAAATTTGAGGATCATTTCTACTTCTTTGATGGCAAATTAACTATTACTCAGACTTCAATGAGCGATTAAAGATTTGTAAACATATAACCTCGAACATTAATTCTTCCCGAGAATGGATTTTCCAAGTGGTAGTAAAACAATTACCGAAAAACTATCTTACTCAAAAATCTATTTATATTTTGACCAGGTTGAGATTCGCTTTCACAAAGATCACTTTGCGTTTATGTATTTCTTGTAATTATGTATATTTAGAGTGGTAATCAAACTCTGTGAATTATAATATAATTATTATTATAATTCACAAAGTTTAATATTATTGGAATAACATATGGGTTTCACTACCACTTTAAATATGAAAACAAAATCTTTCGGAAAACCGGAAGAGGTAGCATCTTCGGTAAAAGTGTCCAAGCTTTGAAAAATTTCAAAATTACTGTTTCAAAAATACCCAGATTTTCCCATCACCTCCTACATCCCAAAGCCCCCACACGTTTTTTATAAATAGTCCGCGCAGAGTGTTTAAAAAGAGAACCAGTGGTGCGCATGAAACCAAATTCAATTTTAAAAGTAATGGAGAGAAAGTTAGTATACATATTTGAGAAGTGAATCTTTCGTGGTAGACAAGTAAATAAGACAAACCAATTTTACTCATAAATTGAAAAAATTTTTTAGACGTATATTTGCTATCACTCTCTTATTTTTACTAGATATTAATTAAATGGCTATTTTGTAAACTGGTTTACTTTCATAGTGGTCTGATTGACCTACCTATAAGATACCGCGTGGAGGCTTTTAGCTATAGGTGGCGTTGGTTGCAAGCATAGCTGATGTTAATACTTTTGAGATGCATTTTGGTCTATCTTTTAATATCAATTTTTTCTTTACCATGTGTTTAATATCTTTGCGTTTTTCTTTTTTAGGACAACTTGAAAGGAAGATAGCATTTTAGCTGGCTTGAAAAAGTGTGAATAGTTTAAAAAATTATATTAATATATATCTGTAATATAGCCTTAATATGAAATTTTTAAACTGTATTCCGAGCGCACAATAAAAGTTTGTATTATAAAATAAAATGGAGAAATCTTTCTTGTTGTGTTTCTTATTTAGGTGACAAAAACGTTATAATATTATTCTCAATCCAAAAATCAAACAAATCTTTTCAAAAATAGTGATTTGAGTTTCCAATAAAACAGAATTTGGCTGACTTTGGATCTTTGTTGTTAAAAAATAGTTGTTTCTTAAGGTGTAAAACGAATTATTTCCATATTTCTTGTGGTTTATAGTATTTGTTGAATGAGAGTTGCCAGACTGGCTACACCAGCAAAAGTTAAGAAATGGAATAAATGTTGCCTCTATTTTCGTAACACGTCAGTTATTGAAGACTGACACTGAGCTTTCTGTTTAAGCCGCGTCAAACTTCAGAAACTGACAGTGCAAAATGTGGTACGAAACTGAAAAATAAATTTTTTTTTAAATAATACTGAGCATTTATTTAAAATTTACTTAATTTTTATTGTCACAAATCAAATTGCTATTTATTTATTCTGCTAATAGTGCGCTTCACATTCACATTGCTTTACTCAAATACGAGTGAATATAAACATCTCGTAGCCTGAGGAGGATTAACCTTATAAATAAGTAGGGCTCTCAACGTGTTAATAAAAGTATAATTCGCGGAGTAACATGCTCGACGTTCAACGTGGCTTCATATTTTAGGAAGTCTTATTGTGATTTGGGATTAAATTTAAACGTAATTTTAACATTCGTGAGAGTTTTCTGTAATTTATAAATTCTGAAAAGTCGTGAGCCTTAAATAAGTTTGAGAAAATTAATATCACGATATAAATAAAGCGTAAGGTTTGCCATGTATTGAGTATTATCCTTTATTTTGCGGCATTTGTGTGAAATATTGCCTTTTGTAATTTTTTGGCTAGCGTCATAACATGCTAGTGAAGTTGTTCAAATTCGCTTGTAATTGTATAGCCACATGAACTCTGTGAATACTTGATTTATGAAGAAAAAAGATTGTATCGTGTTTGCGTGATGCTTTCAAACAAAAGGAAAGGATGGATAGCACCGTTTTTCAAGCTAAAATAAAAGCAGAGCTTGAATAAGTAGTAAGCCAAAAATTTTACGACGAATTTTTACCTCTAGTGCCACATCTGCGAAAACATCTAGCGCTTAATACGACTCTTTATTCATAAAATCATTAACTTTCTTTGATAGAAAAATATTAAAAATTAGTAAATAAATGTAAAAAAAACGGAGTATTTGCCGGCCAATTAGTTTTTTTTATTCCAATTTTTCCATTACAGGAAAAATTAGAATAAAAAAAACTAACCAAATAAATAAAAGGAATTATAGACATATCCCAAATTTGAAAACAGATTAAAAGCACAGGATCAAACTATGTCCCTATAGACTTGAGTACGAGGTTAGAATTCCAAATATTTAAGTCTATAGTGCTCTAGGAACAGGTTAGGATTATCTTGCAAATAGGTTAGGAACATCTCTTTAGGTTTGAGCACACTCTTTTCCCCTCAGCGCTAACAAATTTTCGACATTTGTAACAGCTGTTCATTCTCAATGGCTTCAAAGCCTTTGGTTCCGTTTCACAGTCTTCATCGGTACCAATTTGCACTTCTTCACCTCCTGCAACCATTTCTAGCATAGAAGACAAAGCGCCCCAAGTTTTAAAATTTTTTCAAAGCAAAAATTTCTTTTTATTTCAAATCGTTTCGCAAAAATTAAATAAATTCCAAAATAAATGAATAAAATACACCGTTGAAAACAGTTCAAGGACAAATGTTTGATACAATGAAAAAAAAAATTTCAAGCAAGTAAAACCAAGCATGACCAAGATATCAATCTATATATGACCAATTAATGAGAAAACAGACATGGTCAAAGTTGTACCCTAAATAAGGAAACTGATTACTTGCATAGCAAAGCAAATGTCCAACACACGTCAGTCCGAGACAAACATTTCTAATTGGATGTATTGTGTAGCCTCTAACAGCTACACAACTCTTGCATAGGCGTTTCATACTGTTTACCAGAATACTTATCAATCCCTGCAGCATCCCAGGCACCTCTCAACTTTGGATCTAATCTTCGAGCTGCAATTGAGTCATGAATTGAGTGTCTAAGTGTGTCCCATGCGCGTTCCATGGAATTAAAATCAGAGAACATCGCTGGCTACCCACCGATTGGTGGTATTCATCCACATTAACTGTTGTTAATGTTAACTATTGTTAATTTTTGCAACGTGAGCCTTAAATAAATTTAAGAAAATTAATATCACGATATAAATAAAGAATTGAACAATCCTTCGAAACTAAAACTGATTATCAATCTTTCATTTTTTTCTATTTAATTATCCTAAACTCTAAATCAATTGTGCTATTGCATCAAATCGATGATTTTCTATGCAAACCAGCCCCTTTATCTAGTTGAATGATTTATTTAGCCATAAAAACTTCACGGGAAGCCTTATGACACGCTGTGCTTAATGGGAAATGCCATGTTAAGGAATTAGTTCAAGATAGCGTCAGAGGGCAGAAATGACGACTGACGTCAGCCATAACCCTATCTATTGGAATCATCAGAGGTTGCAAGCTGCAATAGGTTTCCCTTCTGTCAGTCAGATTAACAGAAATAGAGATCCGGAAGCGATGTAAATTAGCGATGGGATTATTCAGAATTGTTTACAAATAAAAAAAAAGTTAGCAAGTAGCCGTTGTTTTCTCTTTATTTGAAAACAATCAAGTTACGAAATTGTGCTTTTTCAATGTTAAAAAGTTCTTCACATTTTATAATAAGAACTAGATGGTAAGTAAAACTCATTACTACTCTCAGCTTTTAAATTCTCAATTTATAGCAAATTTTTTTTTTTTCATATATATTAATTTTATTATTTGTTGTTACTCTTAGTAATTGGAAAGATTTCTTCAATAAAAATTTTCCTTCGTTTATTTTTTTTTTCTGCTTTTAAGCGAGGACTGGTAACAATAAATAATCGTTTAAGTGAGGAAGTTTAATATTTGTTTCTTACAAAATAATTTGGTTCCTTTAAATTTTATATAGATAAGCGAATTATTCGATTATCTGATCCACAATTAAGTAAGGAAGACTGTAGTACCTTTTGTTATGTAATGACCACCAATTGTTTCTTATTCATTCACTGCTGTTCCATAGTCCTGTGATTCATAACAAAAAGGACTTTACACACATAGTTACCTTTCATTGCCTATTTACATTAATGTTTACATAATATGATGTAAAAAAGATATTTAAAAGCTTTAAAAACGAATGGAATTTTAATAAACAAAGGCTGATACTTTTTCATCCTCCTTATATTTAAATTATGTTAGTAATTACTGGGTTTCATGTAGGGTTTTTAAGATTGAAATAACTACTTTTTTAAAAATTACTCTTTAAACCAAAGATCTTGTAAAGAAAAAGGATTTGTAACAAATGAGAGGAAGGATATACTGTTCCAATTGATATTTTGCATCAAAATATTTCATTCTAAGAAATACATTTATTGTGTTTTTTGTCTTTTCACTTGTTTATAAAAGAATAATTACAGCTTAAAATTTTCTGTTCTTTGAAAACATGTTTTTTAAAACTCAACTTCACTAGATTATTAACTAAATTTTGGAAAGTTGTGTAATATTCTTAACTCTTCATATTTTTCTGTTTTGTAGCTTTCCAGGGAATACTAAGAATGTTTAAATAAGATGCTTAGCCTTGGTAAGTGTGTGTTTCAAAATTTAAATAATTTTCCTGTTTCATTTCCCTATTCAAAACTTGACAAAGAACCATATTTATTGTGTGTAACACTTTTAAATGCTGTAAATTTCATTGTTTTTATAGGATCTTTATTGTGGCTCATTGTAGTCGCTGCTGTCTGGGGATTTTCAACGCCATTGATAAGGCACGGAAGCGCTGGCATAGAGAAAATTTCAGGCTCTAATCCTTTGAACCAATGGCTTGCTGAATTAATGTTCCTTGCCACAAACTGGAAGGTATGGAATTCATTGTGTATTGATTAAACAAAATATGTAGTTTATAATAATAGTTCAATGGAAAAATATTTATATATTTTTTTTATTTAAAAAAAATTTGTATAGACTGTTTTTAAAATTATTTCCAACTATTTATTCTCTTATAAAAAAAAAATTCTATTAGCAATAACAATTTAAAATATTTTTCTTTATATATTTCTTAAAAATAAACCAATAGCAATTCAATAACGCTTTCTTAAATTACACAGCTCAAATATCTTTGTATTTTGAAAACAAGTGTAATATCAAAATATATTTTTCTTCATTCATAAGCATTTTTTTTGTTATGTTGTATTTTGTTATTGTTTTATACAACTTCTATTTTATAATGATATCATCGCTGAAAAAAGTCTGAGAAGTAATACTTTTATCCAACCTTGCATGTTATGATTTATATGCATTAAGTCTACCGTAACCATATCTTATGATCTTCTATTAACTTAATAAGATCTATTAATAAGATCTATTCTATTAACTTAATATATTCTTAATAAGCTGAGCAAATACCTATTGTTGATTTTTGTTATATTTTTAAAAAAAAAATTTCTTTTCATTTTGTGCTGCATTTTAGTATGGGATTTTAGGAATAAACACTCTTATATTTGACAAGCACAATTTATTAATAATTTGCAACATTTAATTCAAGAATAGAATATGGAAGTTACGTCTTTATGGAACACTAGCCACTAGCTGGTGAGAAATCTAAACTGAAACTTCCAAAGTGGGTAGAGTGAAAGCCCCAATTCACTTGTGCATGCATGATACAATAGTTCGTACACATAGCCTAGCCTCAATTGAATGACTAAATGCACCACACATTTTCTTTGCCTTAACCATTCTCTTGTCAGTCTTGTGTCATTCTCTTTGATTTAAACATATTTTGAAGATTTTTTTATTTATTATTTTTTTAAAACTTTATTTTAAAATTTTCTTCTGGCTATTTAGTTTTTTTGTCACTCAAATTTTATGTTTTATGAATCAAATTTGAGATGAAATAGTTATACTACATATGTTATTGGTTTACAAATAAATTATGAGATTTGATTTTAATTGTTATTAGCACATAATATTATCAATAGCCCTTTAACTCCGGCAACATTGGTGTTCATTTAATATACTATGCAATACTATAATTTATAAGGAGAAATGTTGCTTCACTGTTGACCAACTTTTGCTCTAGTTGTGTACATTTTATTATCTTTTCTGTAGTAGTATTTATTAATAATATGGGATAAAATGATTGCTATTATTGATTTTAAAGTTTTAATGTGAATGTTGGAGTCATGTGTTAATTTTAGAAATAGTTTATAAAGTAAACTTATAAGAATTTGAGAAATAATATAAATTCTGAAACTGAACAGCAGAAATATTTCATCATGTCTCTTGCTTTTATATAAATTATCATATCTTTTAGTGTACTTTTTTCAGTTAAATTCTGATGTAATAACAAGGAATTTTTAATCTAACTTATCTAATTTTTCTTTTGTACCATATTCACTTATGTAATGAATGACAAATCACATACTCACAATGTTGCACACTCACATTGAAAATTGAGATTCTAATATGCTACACTGAAATTAAATTAAGAGCACAAATTGTATTCAATTTCAATAATTATAATGTTTCTTTAATAATAGGTTTTTAATAAAGGGTTATACTATTGAATTTTATGAAAACCATTAAAAGTAAACGATCACATTTTAAATTGTGTTATTCAAAAATGATTTGTTGAATGAACAGGATCAACTATTCTTTATGTAATCAACCATGCTAATCACAAAACAAATATTTTGAGCGCATGTCTAAATGATTATATGAATATTAAATAATTTTTTTCTCTTATAGTAACGTATGCAAAGTGTGAATTCGTTGTTCATATGTTAGGTGTGATAGCACATAATTGGTAACAGGTTAGATTACGAGGTAAAATTTTATATGAAAGCTTAATTTTAGTGTTTTCTTGTTAAAAACCATCTATTTTGCCTAATTAATTACCTTAACTCATGAATATTTGTAAATAATATAATTATATTAACTCATCAATTATTTTTTTCTAAATCTCTCTTTTTAAGCATTTTATTTTAATTCAAACTAAAGTAAGTATTTTATGTAATTTTAAATATTTTTTACTTATTTTAAGAATAGGAATTGTGTGATTATTAAATGTTCCTAAACATGTGCTCTTTGATTAAATGTTTTTTTTTTCTTTTTTTTGTGAAATGTTTGTAACTTACTTTATTGTTTATGTATGATATTTTTTATTCCAGTACATAATGCCTTTCTTAATCAATCAAAGTGGATCTGCTCTGTACACTATGGCTTTAGCTTCTTCTGGTATAGTACATATTTATTTGACTTCATTAAGAGTTTTTTTTTTTTAAATTTAAGTTATGTATATTTATAATGCAATTTGATCTATCAAAAAATTTATAGATTATGGATGATAGTTAGTAATTAAATTCAAACTTTTTGTCCTTTCCTTATAGCTGGGACAGCAAAGGTCTTTTATATAGAGGCTACATAAAAACTGAAAAAGGTGTAATTTAATTAGAAAATTCCAGATATAAATCCATCAAATATTAATTAAATGACTTGTAAGTTAGTTAGATAGTAACTGGTGTTTATTTGAAGATAATTAAAAATAAAATTTATTAATTAAAAAAGTTTAATTCTAGAAATGCATAAAATGAACAATCGAATTTGGTACCTTCAAACATTTTTTAGAAATAATCTGTTGCACAACTATGTTTAAAAATTGTAGATAAAATGGAAAATGGACACACAAGCACAAAACTGAGCTTCTCCACTAAACTTTACACCCATAATAGAATTAGAGAATGATAGAAATTTTCACTTTATCTACAATGGAATGTTCTTTTAAATTATCAATCCATAATTTTCACTATGTGCCTCATTTATCTGATCTCCTTTTCTTTCTTATTGATCCATGTTACTCCTTCCCTAGTACGAAATTGATAGTTACTGCTTAGAAAACATATTCATACAACTTACTCCTTTACCCCCAAAATTGCTTTTGGTGCATTTTTTTTTTTTTAAAATTTCACAATGTCATGGTTTTTCCTTGCAAAACAACAATCGTCAAAAGAGATGAATGCTTTCAAATAGACATTATTACCAAATTTTTTTTAATCTATTCTTGTCTATCTTAAAACATTTGAGATTCTCATCACATTTGTCTTTTAAATATTTTCTTTTCTTCAATTATCATGTTTAAACTTGTTTTTACCAGTCTAATCCTATTTTTGTCCTTGATGGAATTGTTAATTTTCCTCTGAATCTCTCAGTGGTTTTACTGAGAAAAATTCTTGATCTTAAAACTGGTTCTACAGTATGTCTTTTTATATGTCATTATTTATGCTCTTTTCACTTTTTTTTAGTTTTCATGTGTATAAAAACTGTAATTCTTTCTTCACTTTGAAAAAATTTATTTAAATATTTAATTTTGGGTTTTTTCTATCTTATATTTCGAAATTATTTCTAGTGTCCCTTATTAAGAGATAAATGCATTAAGATCCCCATTTAAAGTAACCGAATTCTCCCTTAAATAGAGGTTTAGTCTTATTTAGATGTGTCCCTTATAGGAGATACTACTGTATTTGTGTCTTTTGCTGTTTTCCATTCAATTCTTTTCAAGCATTTTTCTTTTTTAAAAACTAATAAAGTTTTACAATTATTGCATTAAAACTTTTCAATAATTATACATTTTAAAAGCATTAAATTTGTTGTTTCTCAAATATCATAATTAACAGTTGAATTTGTATATTTAAAATGTAAACGCTTTGTTCCTTGTTCAAATAAATTTTTCATGCAATTATAAGATTTATTAAATCATACATTGTGCATATTTTTATTGATTAATGTTAAGATTACGTCTTATTTTGCTTAATCTTTTTGCTTAACCTCTTTAATCTTTTTGCTTAACCTCTTTTCGCTACTTATAAGAAAAATGTTGCCCATTTAATTTTCACTACTGTCCCTAACTGTTATTATTAAATTGATTACTAGAAAGTCACTTGTTGAATAAAATAGAAATCGACAGTTTGTACGACTCCTTATCTTTTACTTGCGAGTGAAATGTGGTAAACTTTCTGATTGAAAATTAAACATTATTGCATCCAAACCAGTTTACTGGTAAAAATATTTTTAGTATTCGTCAGTGCTATCCCTGTGTGTTATTTTATTTTTCCTAATGAGTAATGTTGACAAGAATAATAACTTAAAAATATGAATGGCATATTTTGCTCTAATAAAATTAAAACTGTAAAATTATCTTTTAGCCTTTTATTTGAAGTACACCAGATCTATGGTTTTTGACTTAGCTATATAATTACTATGAAATTTCAAATTAGGTGTTGAGTAATGAAGTTGCCCTAGAGTAATAATAATATGAGTTTTTTTCACTATGTACTTAATTTATTACCATAGGTAATTTTTCAAAATGTGAAAATACTTAAGATGTTTTTTAAGACTAAGCTCTTAAAGGTGTATAGTTTTAAAATAAATTCAGTCTTATGGTAGGTTTCTATGTCAAAACACTTCCCACCTAAATTTTGGTGACAGCAATTTTTACCTTCTTCCCACCAATTAAAGACAAAAGTTTTTTTTGTTTTTTTGTATGAATTTTTTTTCTTTTTTTTTAAAAAATTTTATTCCCGAAAGGTACTGTGGCAATCACCAATTTTACTTTTTATCTAGAAGTATATAGAGTGAAAATTTCTAGGACAAGGATTATATTCAACAAGAAACATTTCATACGACTTTTTATTTCCATTTTGCTTTAAAATTTTTGAATAAAATTCGTCAACTTGGCATCAATATTTTTTTTTAAATTTTAGAAAAGGAAACTAAAGTACAATTTTTTATGTTCGTACATTTTCTAAGTTAGCTTGAATTTTCTTTTAGAAGTTATAAAACAGTTGCGTTACTTGTAATTTTTAAACTATGGCTCTTACATTTCCAAACATTTTTTTTTTCAGTTAAATGTTTTCTAAATGTGCAAAATGATTAAAAATTATCTTTTCCAATTCGACATACAGTTACACTTTATATAAATAAGATAAGTTCTATTGTTTGCGCAATTTTTAGAAACAAGTAATTTTTTCCTACTATTTGCTTGTAGAAATGGAGGTTCTTCAGTAATTTTAAGTCAGAAACTTATTCTTTTCCTGCTGCTATTCAGTAAAGAAAAACTCACAGTTGATTTACATTCATTGCTTTAAATATCATGGGTACTCTTTAAAAACTCTCCAAGTTAATAGTTGACTAAAATGTTTGATGTGGAATTAAACTATAACCCAGCTGAGATGTTTATAATGAACAGAACTTGATGTCTTAATTATTTTGTTAGTATTGTTTGTGTGTTACTTCATATCAAATTAAAAATATAATTTTGAATCTCGGTGTTCTTTTATAACTTTTAAAAAACTTAATAACTTTCCCACATTTAGCTCTTGCGAATTGTAGTTATGTCTAAGAATTCAATGCTTACATTCACCCTAATTTCTAATTGTATAGTTAAGGATTCTTTTTAACTAAATTGTAGGTTGAGGTTGGATTTTTCAGTTAACTTTAGTTAAGGATTGTATATTAGGTTTATTATAAAAAAGTTGTTTAACATTTGAAGCCTATATTAAAGCTGAAGTTCATAATTTTTAATAATTCTTCATAATTATGCTTGTTATTTTTATTTTTGTACTTCAAAAGTTTTCATAGTTAAAACTGTATTTTGTTTAATATGTATATACAGCATTTTCTTTCATTCTACTGTTAAATCTTAAAAACCTACTTGAAATTGTTTTTTCTATTTTTTAAAAATCTTTTGTCTGTTTTATTATTTAAACTGCAATATTTTTTCTGATTTTTAGACTTATCTGTAGCAGTTCCACTAACCAATTCTCTCACCTTCATATTTGTTACAATATCTGGCAGACTATTAGGAGAGGCTGATGGAAAACCAGGTATACTTACCAGTTCTTAATTTTATTTTTTATGTATTTTTACTAAAAAATGTATGAACTGAAAATTTTCATCACTAGTATGTAATTGTGCTTTACACTTTCTAGATAATATTTAAAATATGGTAAATTAAGATTCAAATTTAAAGCTAAAGCTTTTATTGATGCTATGAGCTTTAAGTATTGATTTTTATTTTACAGAAATCATTGGCATTAGACTTTTCTTTCCAACCTCAGTTTTATCGACAAGTAACTTGTAGGTTATGTACTCTAGTGAATAATTGCTATGGACCAAACACATTTTTAGAATAAAGAATATTAAATCAAATCAAGTTTTTAGCTATCTTTAAAAATTACATTTGTACCTTAGCATTTGTTAATTATTGTATTAAACAAATCTTCTTATATTACATTTTTCAATTATATTATTATAGTATAACTGTGTAAATAGTAAAATTAAATAGAGCTAGATCAAGTCCAAATACTGAAATACCCTCCAACTGCTGGAAGTTCAGAAAATATTTTTTCTTGTGAAAAAACAAAGGTAAAATAATAATATTTTAATGAAACTGAATTAAAATAATTTTTCTCACCTTTAAGTATAAGTAGTTGAAACATGTATATAACCTAGTGGCCATGCTTTTATCTGATAAAAATTTCGTAGAATTTCTATCCACTAAAAATTTTCTGCATTTGTTCATCACTAGTGGAATCTATATCTTTCACTTAACAGTGACATTTAGTTTTTTTCTGCTTATTAATGTCATAATTTATTGTACTTTATGGGTCTTCTGATTATAAACTGTACTGATAGGCAGTGGCGTACGCAGGATTTTTTCAAGGGGGGTGTTCGTAATTTTCTGAAACTACTAAAAGAAATTCGAATAGGTAATAAAGCACTATTATTTCCCTAATTTAGACAGCTAGACAATTTTGACTCTTTATTTAGACAGCATTGTTTAGTTAAATTTTGATTTGATTTTTTAAGTTTAAGATCATAATGTAATATCTTCTTGCATGTAATATCTTCTGAAAAAAGTCCAATGTGATATTGAGTGGGAAGTAACACTTTGAGGGCCACTTTTACATTTATCAGATTTTGTTATGCTAGAAAAATTTTCTTCAACGGGAGTATCACATTTCTGTACAACAGAAAAACTTATATTGGTATTAGATGCTGCTGTCACTTCACTAATTTCAGGTCATGATTTTTTCTCAAACTGATTAAAAATTATTAAATTCTTGCGTTTTGACATCCTAAAGATCAAGATCTCAGCCAAGATATATATATATATATATTGACACAGAAATATCCGCTATGCTACGATCTCAAAGTTTCGAGCTGGAATGAATAACATCAACGAGCACAGTATCTCCTAAGGTATTGTTACTGATTTCTTCACTAGTCGAAATAGTGGCGACGACGGGTTCCATGATTAACTTTTTGTTAAGACAAAACAAAACAGATTTAGCGGCAGAGATAACTCTTAGTTTGACTAACTCCACTAGCTAACTATTCAAGTTTTATTAGAGTACCTATCCAGTGTTGAATATCTACTCTTTCATCGCAATAGAAAATAAATTGGAGGATAGGAAGGGGTTGCTGCGTTAACAGTAAGTTAAATCTCATAATGTACAACAGTTGAAAATCAAAATTCAAGTCTGGATTATACACAACAATGAAATCGCAATTTGATACATAGTAATAGAAACAATTGAAGATAAAAGAAAATTATTTACACTATATACAAGTCCTAACTCCACTGTACTCCGTTTCCCCATCTATATAATTTTTCACCGCATCTCCAATTGTCTCCTAATTGTCTCAAAGACGACAGAACGTCTAGGATTCCAGAATCATCGCGTACTCACGAATGACAACAGCCAGTCTTGAAAACTATCGCGAATGGCAGGACAGAATGGAACCAGTCCGTACCAGTATTAGTATTACGTGAATTTGGTTTCAAAAGTACAACCCTATTATAGTAAATGTTTTCTCAGTATTCTGAGAAATACCGTGAGGGAAAAAAAAGTAGGCATAAGGCAAATAAAAATATATAGTCTTAAAAAATAGCCCACATAATTTCTACTAAAATTTTTATTTTTTCCATTTTGTCTGAGATCAAGGGGGGTGTTTAGACCCCTAAACCCCTCCCTTGCGTACGCCACTGCTGATAGGTATATTTAATTTTACAGTAAGCATGAACTTGCTTAAAAATGGTAGAAATAAGGTTACTATTTAAACATTTATTTTTCTCCAAGATTTCATTTTATTTGCAGGTTTTAAATTTTAAACCTCAGTTAGCTACTTTTAGGCTTGAAAAATTATTGAAAAAACAAAGAATTTATGAACAATAATGCAAAAAACTAGTTTAAATAACTAAATCACTTTTTCTTTCAAGTTGTCATTACCTAGATTATGGTGTTGATTCCATACTTATTTTATAGCATTAATTAGAATTTTTTATTACTTTCAATAACTTTGATTCAATCCCTTGTAAAAAATTTCCATTAAGAAATTTTAATGCCTCATTTTATTCATAAAGCTTCCACTGAATAAGACATGCATGTAAAAAGGTTAAATAAAATTTCTGGTCACCACTTGTTGTTGAGTGTCCGATGATTCCTAAGCACAGTTCTCTAAGTTAGCTAGAATAAAGTGGAGAAGAAGATAATGGTTTCTTGTTGTTCTTGTTGTCTCATGGGCATTGCAAGATATGAAAAATAGGGAAATATTAATTTCATAACTATTTGTATAAAATTCATGATAACTATGGTTAGCATTTGCTCAAAACTATTTATTTAGATATAATTTATATTGCAATCTTATGATAATAATCATTCAGAGCAATCTAATTAGCCAGAAATGTCAGAATACTCCTGCGAATTTCAAAAACTTTCAAAACCAAAATATTTTATTTCAATTTCTAGTTTTAAATTATAAATGATATCAACTTCTCAATATCTTAGATCTGCGCTTCTTAGATGCTCTGTTGTGACACACTTATGCGTTCTTGCATGTTTCATAAAAATTTATAGCTGTTCAAAAAATACATTTTCTGCTAAAAGTTTGTCATTCCTTTTTCTTACCATGTTGCACAAACTTTTTTGCTACCTTTGCATAAAATAAATAAACATAGCTCAATTGGCTAAATGTTGTTACCATCCACTTAGAATTGAGCTTATTTATAAATCCTTTAATCATAAATTCTAGACATTTCTTTGAATTTTCCAGAGGTGAGAGGCTTTCTTAGTAATACTTATAAATAGCCACTATATTGAAAATTCACTTTTGTCAGGTTCTAGGTGGAGCCCTACAAATTCTGCAAAGATGTTGAAAGCAGCATAAATTACAATAGCATAATTTCTGTAGATCAATATAATTTTATTTTGCAGAAAAATATCTTCATTTACCAAATCATTTGTCCTTATGGTTTTTATCCTATGCAATTTTAAATTCCTTTTCAAAAATCGTTTTAGCATCTTATTCCTGATTATACTCTTTTTTTTTCTGACCCACATTTTGTAAACCATCATTAAATATCATGAAAAAGGCTCAAAAAGAATTTTTTTTTGATGCAGATAAAAAAGACCAACTTAAATATTTATCGCAACTGTGTATTCAAAAATATTCCGTGGTTAAGTGAACTATGGAACTTGAGTTTAGTGCACACAAAGATTATGTTGAAGAAAAAAATGTTGTTACTTGGACTTAATTGAATTCTTAATTCAGACATAGTCTTACAGAGATTTCCAGAACTTTGTACTGTTACCTCTAAAATTTGGGTTATGCTGTGATATATATTAACGGTAATATATATTAACAATAATATATATTAACAATCAATATATTAACTTTGGTAACAGTGTTACCCAGGTTCAAAAGAAAAATCAAAGGAATTACTTGAAACATTTAACATTTACAACCAATTTTATTAAAACTTAAATTTTCAAATAAAAACAAACTCAAATCATTTCCAAATGCTATCAAGTAGATATCACTTATTTCCAAATTATTAGTTACTTCAGGTTTAAAATTTAGCAATGCGAAATTATGTTTTCAATAAAATGCAATTGAACATATAAGCCTCAATATTCTAATATTCCAAATCCAGTAAAAACAATTAAGGATAAAAGACACACTTATATTAAAATCTACTAAAAGCAATTAAACATAAAAATCACAGTATTCTCTAAATCCTGTAAACACGATTAAAAATAAAAGGCACTTTTATCTTAAAACATAATAGAAGCAATTAAAAGTCAGGGTAAATTATTCTTTTAAAACTGTACTAAAATTGAACTTAGAGATTATAAATTCAAATCAAATTACCGACCAAATCCCTGGAACGCCCGCTGGTATTGCCGCCAGACTTGTAGATCAGGTCAACATTCCAGTTTCTGATAGACAGCACACTCAAACTCTTATCAGACTTCCTTCTAGTATGGCAGTAAACACCCGTGGATCAGCAGACTTTCAGCATTGGGACGCCTTGGATAGGCAAACAGATTCGGACTTAGCGGCTCCGGCCTAACTCAACTCATCACTTTCATTCATCATCTTAGCAGCTTCGGCCTAACTTTGCTCAAAACTTCCGCTCATCCACTCAGGGGTACCGGCCTTAGCTCATTCACTCAGCGGCTTTGGCTTTAGTTCATCATTCTCTCAGCCATTCTTCACCACCTTTAATCTAGTGTCAGCAAGGCGATTGAATCTTAAACCGACCTTTTCTCCTACGAGCAGCAGTGCAACACCAGTGAACGTCACAATAACAAAAAAGTTCCATGATAAGAACAGTCACAAATTAGTAATACTTTATAAAAGTGATAAAACAATACTAATTAAATATAAATATACATAAATACACATAATTCAACCCAAAAATCTCAGTTTAAAAAGATAATTAAAATTTAAGAAAAATATTACTATTGTGAAATTTAAAACTTATAATAGTGGTGCCACCTGGAGGCAAATCATATTTTACACCATCAAAACTTAAGACGAATTCGCTAATAAGCAGAGCTAACCAGTGCAGCCATCTATTGAGGTAATCAGCAAACTATTTCCGCTGAAAAAGTAACCCATCTTTAAAGTATTCATAAAAAAATACAATAAATTTCTATTTATTACAACGTGCAAGATAAGCAAGGCAACTGCTGTCTGTGCTGCGTAATTAAATATATTGTGAAAGAGCCCGCTATGCTAGATATAAGTATAGGAAGCGAGGTAACATACACAATGGGCCATATAAACCTGGGTATTTATATTTATAATTAATAATTGTATCAAACAAAATTATCTTTTTTCTTCAAAATAAGTTCTATTTATGAAACACTTGTAGATAAACATTTGATTTTTCAAAGTGGCTAATTTTATTAACCAACCTGACAATAATTAGAAAAAAATTAGTTTATTATTTTTAAAAATACATTAAAAGCAAAATCAATCAGTACTTACTTAATTTTTTATGTTTAACTGTTTTGTTGACATTTGACATATTTATTTATCATTTACAGGTTTTTTTTAAAAAAAATACTGACATTTTGCTCTTTGATTAGCAGAGTTTGAAATAACAGTTTCAACCATCATTAATCAAAAGTTTATAAAAATTTTGTATCCTTCTTGTACTGCACAAAATGTCAAGGATAAATTCAAATACCTACATTTTAAATTTATTGTTGAAACTCAAATGTTTACATCATTTAATTTATGCATGTTGCTGTTACCTAATTACGTTAAATTGTACCCTGAATCTTTATTCATGCCTAAATCATGTTAAAACATGTGCAGACATAAGTTTAAAATAGTTCATCAATATACTCACTTCCCTTTTTTATGACATAATTAAAATAATAAATAACCTTAACTTAAATTAATACATTTCATTAATTACATAAAGTTATTAATTCTCTTTTAACTGTGAGGGCTATTGAATGTGTAATTATCATTAACACTGAATAATTATAGGTCATACAATAACTTGATTAAGTTCATAAGTAGTTTTCTTTTGGATTCCTTTACATTTCTCTCTCTGTTTCATTCTTTTTTTTTTAAATTATCTGTTTCTTTTGTTCATGGGTGAAAAATTTTACTACTCATCATCTATATGCTATCTATGTGCATCTTTTTTCAGAACTAGAAAGGAAAAAAAAATTCAAAAATATCTAAATAGAATTTTTTTTCATCATTCTTAAAACATATGCTTACCAAAATTTATTCTAATTTTGTAAAACAGTGATAATGACTTTATTAAAAGTGTCTGATTTTATTATCTAGTGCACATATTAACGATGGGTTTTTTCCTTTTTGAGGAAAAGAACTATCCTTTTATAAGAACCCTAGGTACAAATTATTTATTTAAATCCAATGTGGTAAATAAGTGATGGGGGAAAGTGTCTTTGCCGTCAGGTTAACACTCCAAGGCTTCTATATGCTTTCCTCTTTGTGCAATACGAGAAAAGATAGTTTCACTCTAAAAGCCCTACACAAAGGCAAGTTTGTCCTAATAGTTGAACCAGGAATTTATTTGTCTTTTTGGTTGCATTAAAAATTAAAAAATCATGTAGTTGAGCATTAGCAATTAATAATTTAATGTGTATAATAATAATAAAATTCTATCATAGCTATAAAATTGCAACATTTGTAGTTATAATTGTTTGATTTGTTTAGCTTATTTTTACTTTTAATAACTTAAGAAAATTTTGTGGGAAAAATTTCATAATTTGTTTGATTTTTAAAGTATTTATGTAGAAGAAATTTGAATTAAATAATATTATAATTTTTTTATAGCTTCCTACCTGGGTATGACATTAGTTATTTGTGGGATCTCTCTATGTGTTTTAAGTACTGTTTGAAATTGGAACATGGTTTTCATTATACATTTAAAGGTAATCCTATCACCTGATTGATGTAAAGTTTTTTAAAACTATATTTTTGCAGATAATTTTGTAAAAAAATAGGTTATTACAACTAATTAATTAATGGACAATACTATAAAAAGAGAATAAGCATTCTTTTCACTTAAATTATGTTAATTATTTGATATAAAATCTCTCACAAATCCCTTATAAAACCAATACTTAATTTTTTGGTAACAAAATTAAAATTAACTTTTTCTGTTATTTGTATAATGTTATCTTAGTTAAGAACCCTAATTATTTTACTAATTTACTTGAAATCATAATTTTTTATTGTCTGAGTTCCTAGTGTTTCCTTTGCGTGAAATATATTCAGTGAAATATTTATTTGCGTGAAACATATTCAGCCTATCAAGCATTTGCTTGATGAGTTTTTGAGTGTAAATCACTCATGAGTTTGATTTTTATTTCTTAATAAATTTTTATTCCCTTAGTATTTTAGATTTTTTCCCACAATATCAACTTTTTTAAAAATTAATCCTACATACAAGCAATAGTGAACAGTTACATTGCATACATATAATAGATATATGTAGCTGACAGCTCTTCTGGTTTTCTCACCTGTTATAATTTTAAAATTGCTCAAAACTTAGACTTTGATAATGCTTTCTTGGTTTAATAAATTTTAAGTTATTGTAACAACCATTATATATATATTATTTATTATTGAAACATGTATATTAAACACTTGGTAATCATTTGATGTAGTCTTCAGGTTTTCATCAAATTTTAAAAAAATTCTGTAAAAGTAATTAAATTTCACTACCACAAGAAAAATGCCTCTCAAATCAAAAGTTGACTTTGAATTTCATCAAATATAAGTTTATTTAAAACACTACCTTTTTGAAATGACTTCAAATATTTTAAAAGTTTTCAAATTATAATAAGTTTTTCATATTTTATCTTTGTATTATGCGCTTTTTAAACTTGATTGAAGGAATATTTTATGTAAATTTAATGTGCTAATCCTCTTTAGAGTATGATTTTTTTATGGATTGTTTCTTCTTATTCTAAGAAAAATAAATTTTCAAATAAAAAGATAATTCCAATTACTTAAACTGTTTCTCCTGGACTAGCTATATTAGCTGATAAAAATAATCATTTTTCAATTCCTGCTAAGAACAACTTCTGCTTGTATACTTTTTGAAGTAGAACTTTTTAAAAGCACAATTTTTATTTTACTAATATTCACTATTTGCTATGTAAATATTCATTTTATATCAGCCTGTATAAATTAGTCATGTTTCACCTTTACATTTTTGTAAGATATTTAAAGTTTTTGACTAATGCCTTAGTTAATGCTATCAACTTTATGATAGTTTTACTGAAATGGCAACTTTCTCCACTCTTTCTAGTGGTATCAAAATTTATGTTTTGATGTATAATTCTTAGTTAAGTAAATTTTATTTAAAATTATTTTGCATACCACTACATATTAATAATTCAAAATATTATTCATATATTTGAATTATTTTTTTTTTAATTTGGTACAATAAAAAAAAGGCACAACATCTTTGATTTTTCCCACTAAAAAGCTGATTCTATTCATAAAACTAATTACCTTCCTACGATACGCTAATTGAAATTTTTTGGAGATTTTAAAAATTTGCTTCTGAAGTAAAAATATTTTTATCAGAACGAAGTCCAACCCATTTTTTTAATTAAATCATTTTATTTAATAAAAAAAAACTGGATCTTGAAATACAAAATTATAGAAAATAATATATCTGCTTTAACAATATGTGTAGGTACTGGCAATTCTCAAATGCAACACTGCATAAGAACTATCCTTTAATGGGTAAATGTAGTACAGTAAAAAGTTTATAAGTTTTTTAAGTAAATTTGTAAGAGATATCATAGAAACTACTTTAATATAACCAAGTTTTAAGTCTTTTCATAAGTTAAATGTTTAAAAAAAAATTTCTCTCATTATGATGACTTAGTTTACATCTGATTCTAACTCATATTGGAATTACTGAAAAAAATGGAAAACAAGCTAAAACGAAATTTAAAATTAATAATGAGTAATCAAATAATAATGAGGTACAATTTATGTCTGAAAAGAATAGTAAAAAAATGCTATACGAAGGAATCAATGTGATTTGTAACAATATCAAACTCTTTCAGATTCATTGCCGTTGCTGCATTCCAACCTGCAATCTCGCTAAATATCTGCATTGCATTTGTATGTATGACACCCACTTATGCAGCCAGACTTTTGAGGTGAACAGAGATCATTTGCTAAATGTTTTTCATTGAAGAGGAAGACCTATACAGCAGGCTAGAGAATTGATGCAGTTGATATCCAGTGACTAGTTTTTGGTTTATGTTTCGTATACATTATTTATTTTTCAGTCGTGGTGTGTAGTTATTGTTATGAGGTTTATTACTCAGGGTGCATAGCGTTTTTAAAAAGTGCTTAATTTTGATTTTCGTCTTTTGAAAGCCCTTAAAGGTGCTTTTTTCATTGGGTGTTTTTAAAAAGTGCTTAATTTTCCCTTTTTCAAAATGAGATTTTTCCTTTACTATGTTGATTTTCTCTTCTAATTATGCAAAAAGATTCAGTTCAGATTGTTCTATTCAACATTTTCACAATTAATTCAACCCCAATCTATTTCGACTTATTGTCAGTCCGTAGCGTATGAAAACACCATTCGTTTTGCATAATTCAAAATTTCATGATTTTTGACAATTGTCAAGAACAATGCCAAAAGGTTTTTTGTTTTACATGATGGTTAAAACCGTCAATTGTCAAAAATTTTCTAACCCTGCCTAATTATGATATTTTTTTAAAGTGCTTAAAAATATTTTTTGAGTGCTTAAAAGGTGCTTATTTTTTGTTGAATAATTTGGCTATGCACCCTGTTACTGTTTTGCCTTTTTTGTAATTTTACTTTTATGCTTGAATAACTTGCTACTTTGCGCATGGGAGCAAATGATGTATATTCAAGTGCTTTTGCTGTTATATACAAACTTGGGGCAATATATCAATTAACTACAGTTTCTAATTATTCAGAAGTGCATTTTTCATGAAAAGTACCATGATTTTCATGTAGGCAATAAGATGTTTTTTGTGTATATTATATGCTATTAAATATTTGGCATGGTAGAAACTTTTATAGCAGTTGTTTAATTATACAATTGAATGTGACTACCTATCAATAAATAGAGCTACCTAACACTAATAACAGTTGTGTGTGTTAAGTCTTTTGTCAGATGTAATTATTAATGATTATAATGCAAATGAAGTTATAGTGCTCAATAAATACGAGAAATTTTAATTGATTACATCTAATTGTTTGTTTTTCTTATCTGCACTAAAGGAAAAAAAACACGTGAGTTTTGTTTCAGATTTTTACTCTGTACCTTTCTCTAGCATTCAACACTTATTAACATTCAACACTTATGGTATGAAATTCAGTACACCTAGATATTTGGTCAGAAACTTATATGTATACTCCTGAGCAACGTTATGAATATATTCAATATATGTAATAGCTATATTTCTGTTAGCTATATTAATGACTACAAGAGGTTTTTATTCATCTGTAGAGACATTGTGTAGCCTTGTATCTCAATTGGTTCCATAATCCGTGACGAGATTGATTAGGGATTTCACTTATTCACATTCAATTTTGCAATAAGGAAAATTAATAAACCTTTTGAAAGGAAAAAAAATTTCCACAAAATTTTTTTCTGACAGCTGTAATAAATTTTTTTCAAGAGGTTCAACAAAAATCCCTCAATAAATCCAAGTTATGCTTATAACATGTAACCTTTTTTTTTAAAATGTGTAACATCATTAGCAAGAGTCTTATATTGGTCCTTAAAAAGTAAATTAACCATCTCTCTTCTTACATCTGCCAGTGTATATAAATCATAGAAATTGTAAATAGCATTGATTTTTTTCATAAATTTTATTTTTTACTCATACAATTTTTTTTAAAGTTCATATTTTGTATTTTCACATCTGATAAAAACTGTGTAACTGTTACTTTTCCTTTCTAAATTTTTAAAAATATAAACATTTTTCTGTGAAAATCTGTATTAGAGTAGTTTTGATTCTCTTTTCAAGTAAGCAATATTAAAGAGTTAGATTCATCTATGGTAATGAAGCTAGAAAATGCGAGCAAAGCCATACAATTCCACATGCTTTGTTCACATACGTTGCTAGATTTATTTTCATAATGCAGCATAAAATGTGTGTGTGTGTTTTTTTTTTAATTTTTAGATCATCAATATATTTTTAAATTTTTTTACAATTTTATTGTATTGTTTTTGGTTTTTTCAGTTGCTATAAGAACATAATTGTTCAATAATGATTCTGGGACGAATGTCTAATACATTTTGAAAAATAATAAAATAGAAATGGTCCTATATTTATTTTTTTAAGAAAATGATCTCTATTGTTACAGACTTTATCTTGTGTTATGAAATTAAAATTTATGAAATTAAACTTTTCTATTAAATTTCATTTTCATTAAATGGTGCTTCTGTAAATGCCTATTGTTTAAAGAATTTCAAAATGTATTTATATTGGTAATTTAATTTCAATAAAATGTGATATAAAGTGTGATATAAAAATATTTTTGTTTATTTTATTTTTATTTATTCCATATTGCTTCGAATTTTAAAATAAATTGATATTTCCTGTTGCTCTTGCATTATTTTTTCACAAAATCTTCTTAAGTTATTATCTCTTAAATTACTGTATGATGAATTATTATATGATGTATTATGCTGCGATAATAATACAAAACATTTTCTGAATATTTCAAAAACAAAACTTGCATTTTTTACAGTTTAGTGATATATGCAGTTGATTCTGTGTAACCTACATAGCTTTGGACCTGGATTTTAGAATTTTCCTTTATTTTTTTAATAATTTTAGGGTGCATTTTTAATTTATAAAATTATGTTTAAACAAATAGAAGCAATGATTAACTTATTAAAAGAAAAACTCATAAAATATAAGTGCAATTGGTAGTAATTTATATTATTAAATTTTCAAATCTCTTTTCTTTAATACTATCTTAGATTGGAAAAGAATGATGCACATGGGATCAGCTTCAAGCATGTTAACTTGCATATACTTGATTTATATTGATTTAATCTAAAATAATGTTTTAAAATGTATTACATTTTATGTTTTTTAAATGTATGGTAACAAAAATTAATTTTTTAATGTTAGATTTGTTTATTTTAAGCTTTAATGGTAATCACTAGTTTGTTGTAAACTTTTGAACTTAGAATTTTAAGGTTGAAGATTATAGAAAGTCTATTATTATAAATTGTTCTCTCCACTAATAAATGTTCGTAAATACTCAGAAATGTTTATATGCAAGCTTTTTTTTATACTGCTATGTTTGTTTTACTGGAGTTCAAAATTTTAGTCATCATTTCAATATATCTTAACATTCGTTGGATCGGATATTTTAAAAAAGTTTTTATATAAGATTTATAAAGAGTTTTTCCTTTAAGTATATATGAAACAACTTTGGAAGCGGTTAACTGTTTGTTATAATCTCTCGTGGGAATAATGATTAGTTTGTGTCTCTTTTAAACTTTTACCCATGAACACAATTAAGTGTCTCATTGCTTTTTCATTCAAAGTAACAGAAACTAGGAAGAAAAGAAGGATTAAAACCAATTAACACTAGTTTATTAATGGGTGGAGCTTAAAGACTGTTCTGTTTAAAAGTCAAATGCTCTCTAGGCCTACTTAAAGAACTGGCTTTAAATCCCTTCTTTGTTGTTTCTGACCTCAATTAATCATCAGACTTTGAAACCATTTTTTTAATTTTTGACTCTATTTTCGTTTCTTTTTGTGTTGATTCTTTTAATTTCCATCTTTTTATATGCAAAGTGTTTTGAATTAATTTTATGAACATTATTAAAAAGTATTTAAGGGGTGGTTATTACAAAACACTTTTTAAATAACTTTTTCTGACATTACTTACAATACATTTTTATTTCAAATAGTTATTAGCTCCAGTAATGGATAGAGCTCTCAGTGGTCCCTCAAAAATTTGAAAGTGATAGTAAAACACTAACGTATTCACCTGTAAAACTAAATAAAAATTATGTGCCTGAGGATTTCACCACCATTTATGCGCATGTTTTTTTTTCCCTTTTTTTTTAAAATTTAGCCAGCATACAAGCTAACATTTGTTAATGAATGAAAGTTAAGTCTCTAAATGATTGAAGGACGTGAAGCATAATTATAAGCCACCTTTTCATATTGTACAAAAGAGTGTTTTTTGGGGAAAATACTATGGTTTCCATTTAGGCAATGTAATGTTTCCCTGTATTGTGCTGTTATCTAGTGAAAATACTGTTAACTTGTAAAGTACCTATCTGAGTACCTGGCAACAGTTTGATGCAAAAATCATGTGTTAGCATTATAGAACTACCTGTCTGTAAGGCTAACATATAAGGCTGACATAGAAACCTGCATTCAGTCTATTGGAAAAGCTATTGCTTATCACTGTGTCCCCCAAGCCATTGAATTGAATCGTTAAAATGATATGTTGGTTTTCCTGTTTTAATTCTACTTTTTTATGATAATTAATTAGTACATGCAATAATATGAGTTCAAAATTAATTTCATAAAGCAACTTTCTTTTATTTTTCAACTGATTTAAAAGCCAAAATATAACAGCAGTATGAATATAGAAGACCAGTTGAAAGTTTAGAACCCTTAAAGATGATTTTACTTTTAGTATATTTCTAGAATTACTTTTGCTGTTAAAAAATACAGTAGTATCTCCCATGTAAATAAGAGGATCCCTTTATTTAAGGGACAAGTCTGTTGGTCGTGATTCATTTGAATCGGAGGCTTAATGTGTTTACTCTAATGAGGAACACTAAAAATAAGTTTCAAATTGTAAGATAAATGTAGAGAAAGGCAAAATACAAGTTGAAACACCTTTTGTTAGTATGTTTATCCCTTTCTTTTGATAATTGTTGCTGATGGGGGATAAGAAAGATGGCAAATATGGTGCAATCAAAAGTAATTTCTTTTTCAAAGAATTTTGGCAGGTAAAATGAGGAGGAAGCAGGGTAGAGATGCCTTATCTCCTAAGAACTGCATTGGCTGTAATGGGAGGGGGGAGAACTATCTAACAATGATGAATTACTAATTCAGTTAAACATTCTGACCAGAAAATTTCTGTCATTTTTAGTTCTTGCAAAGGCTGTGGTATTCTACAGAAAAGCAATTTTGTACTGAGGGCTGAAAATAAGTTGAAAAGGAGAAAAGACTGGTAGTAATAACATTTTATTTATCAATGGTTTTCCTGAGGAGTAAAATAAGCTCTTACTGTTCTTAATTATAGTCTCTACCACTATATACTCTCTGATAAGAAACTGTCTTATATTTATAGAATAACTGTTAAAAAAATCTTGGTTGCCAGAGATATTTTAATCTTCTAGAATACAACTTAGAATTATATGATTTTCTTATTAGTTTTCTGTCTTAATATATCTTAGCTTTCAACTCTGTTTGTACTTGTGTCTTTTACGTGTTATTTTTT